TTTCCGATATATCTCGATTAGTAACAAAGCAATCGATACTTATAAAAAATCAGTCGATAGATCCTTTTAAAACCTACAACTTTCTCATTTAATATTCTCAATAGTTTTTTAATTATTTAAGAAAAACCGTTTTTTGAAACTTTGCGAATTTTTTTTGACCATATGCCCCAATTTGGATCGAGTTTAAAGAAGGAGAAACTCGATTTAATATTTAATTTTTTCCAGGTAATAATTCGTGTAAGAACACCTTTATAATGCTTGGACTAATAGTGTTGTGTCAAATGTCCAGGTTAGAATTTTGAAGGTTCGGCTGCACAAACATAACTTGGATTCGTGTTCAGCACTCTCGAAAATAGGGAAGTAGGAAAAATTTTGTGACAATTTGGGCATTTTACGCTACACCAAATAATTAGCAAAAGTTAAAAAAAACGAATTATAACCTGACTATTTATTTGATAAAAAAAGTATAATGGGGAATGTGTTTTACCCAAAAAAAAAAAAAAACTGAATCCCACTTTATGTTACACCTATACTTACCTATTTGTACTAATTAAACATTTTAAATTTGATATTACAAACTAGTCAATCACTTGTCAAATCCAAACTGTCTGACACTTATTGCGAGGTTGAAATATGTTCTGTGCCACATTGAGTGCAAAACCCGTTAAATTCTAATAAAATATTTCAGTTCCCGCATTTAAGAAATAGTTCTCGGCGCAACAGCTTAAGGCGCTGCTTATTTTCAGTTGTTTTCGTCACAAAACTTAATTTACTTTTTAACCTTTTTTTTTAATATTTTCCGTACGCCGTCGCTGGAAAAACTAGTGTAACCTCAAATAACGCCGCGCTTTAGTTGCAGCGCATGCACAATAGCACTATCTCCCTTCACGTGCACTGTAGGTTGCCTACAATTCATGTATTTGTAATACGTGAATATTACAGTGGCGGCGCGGCGTACACAAGTATTACAGTGCATTTAAAAAAACTATTTGTGTTAGTTAAAGAACAAACGGGTCGACTTGAAAAATAATTTAATATTCAATATAAAATGATTATAAAGATGGCAGCAGCTTTGTAATACATTTAGCTCTAATATAAATAAGAGTACTTAAATACAATACGAGTATGATATCTACTATGATGGTAACTATTTAGGATTAATTTTAAAAGGAATTGGTAACAAACTTTTAATACCCTACTAAATTAAACTAGATGAAATACGAGTTAAAAAAAATTAAAAAATAGCTAATTTAAAATCAGTCATACTAATTAAAAGTACACCTAATCGACGACATAGTAAACTTAAGTAACGTAAAGTAAATCTCACTTTGATTCAATATTTTAATCTGATTATATATAAAAAATAACTACTTACAACTTGGCGAAGAGAAAAATCAAGATTTTTTTTTTTTTGTAAAATTAAGTGGAATAAAATATTTTTTTAACTGTAGCACCTACCAAGCTGTTAGTTTATTACGATAGAAGATAGGAGTTAATTTTTTCCTAAATATGTGTATTTTTGTGTCCACTACTAACTACTCACTTAAAAAAAGTTTTTTCTTTGAAAACCAAAGTGTGTAATGTTAAGAAATTTGGCACTTTTCAGAATCATTAAAATGCTTATCAAACTACATAGAGTCTGTTGCAAGATATCATTGGTCTAATAATTAAATACATAACAACCCTAGAAAATGTATTCTAAAATCTAAATAATTTAAATTTAAAAAAAATATTAAGTACGGTAAATAATACTAATAAATATAGATAGATAGAAATCCGGCCTTGGCTCAAGCAAATACATTTTTAGAAATACGGTATGGGTACGGTTTTTATACGCAGAATCCAATGAAGGAGTCTTACAACTAATACGCCGTTATTAAGCATTAAAATATAGTTTCAAATACACCCCATGTACAACGCCCTCTATGTTTCAATAGATGAAACAGAACTTATATCCTTCTTTATGTATTTATAGGTAAGTTAGATTCAGTCAAACTTAAGGTTAAGGATTCTATATGGCAACACTCCTTAGGGACCGTCACTGTAGCGGTATTAAACTATACAAAGAATAGTTTCGACAATTTTGATTGATATAACGTGACCGACAAACACAAAAGACCTAGACACCAACTTTTTGACCCTGGGTGACCACCCCAACGACCCCCCCCCCTGCCCGCTAACCTTTTCTGTTTCAGAGACAGCCAGGATCAAGAAACGAAGACAACGGCACACACACACATACACACCCCCCATACCCTCCTTACCTCTCCCCTCCCGCGCTGGGCTAAGGGCCACCTTAGCAAAGCGCATCCCAGGCTGCATAGCCGCACTACCCTACCCAACCATACCACACATAAACATGACACTACCCCCGGGGTTTACACAGACGAGCCGTCGAAGCAAGAAGAGCGCCAGAAGAAAGGGCCCTAGCCGGCGGGGCCCAGCCAGGACAAAAGGAGGTCCCACAAAGCGCCTACACCGGCCGCATTTACGGTCGGGGTAGACGACGGATGGGGCCCACCTACGAAGGCTGTCCAGGCCTACACGAGATGAGGCAGGATAAAGAGGGATAATCCCCCTCGATCCCAAATCATTGAGGCCAATTTCTAGCCATGGAATAATGGCGCGATTGATATAACGTCCTTTGGTGTTTTGGATGGAATTTTTTTTAACTAAAAGAGAAAAACCCACAGTTTCGGTGCTAGCAACGCTAGCATTATTTTAAATGCAGTTATCCTGAAAAATCGCGGCAGGTGTCGAATAATTTTCCGTAAAAAAATTATATAATATTGACGTCGTGGTGTGAATACAGTATGGTGTGCTCGTCAGCCGACTCAATTTCGTCCTATCTGCGCATGACGTCAGTAGAGAAGTGGGGACTCGTTTTTGCACAAATAGCAAGCTGTATATTTAAAATAATCGTGATAAAAAGACGTAAAACGTGCAATTTCCACATTTACATGCGTTACAAGTCATTTTTAGTGTGTAGAACCTATATGTGAATGCAACTTTAAATATTTTGTCAAGTTTGAAGAAATGTAACCTGTTTTGCATAATAAAATGAATGATGTGAAGATGTATAGGTCACAACAACTTTGGATTATTAGAAAAACGACAAAGTTGCATTTCAGTGCCAGTAACGTCACGATTTCGTCAGTCTTTCTCTCAAGTGACGTCACTGCACGCGCGTAGGCACCATACTGTACTCACACGACAGTTGACGTCAGTTCAGACACTCGCCGTTAGATGGCGGGGCAGATCCAAATTCTGTAGAAGCATTGTTGGGGTCGCCAAGAGGTTCGTAAAGACCGTAACCTAAATCGACTAAATATCTACAAACTTTAGTAGGGACGGGCTAATTCGAATTTAAAATTAACTTGATAATTCGATTATTGTAATTATCTGCAGAATTGAATCATTCGAATTACGTTACGGACTCTTGGAGAGGTACCACTGATCATGTTGAAGTGTTGCGACTTGATTACAAGCGAAAATTAATAGATATGATTGTAAATAATCACACTTGTTTTTTTTTTCGTCCAAATGAAATATAAATCGAATTGGATATCATTCGATTTTTTGAAACAATTCATAACACAACCTAAAAATCTGATTACACAGACCGCGATTTTAATTCAACAACACAAATATAGTTTCCCAAAGGTTTCTGGTGCACTGAATTCGAATCTGAGGTCCAAATTTCTCAATTGGCTCTGGTTTTCGAGATATCCGAACCTAAAAGTGCCAAAATCGCGATTTTTTGTCATATTTGAGGTTATGTTATCTAAAGAGGTAACTTTTTTTTGAAACCATTAATGGGGTCTTAAAGTACTATACTTATTCTTTAAAACGCGACTTTTTTCTCGATTTTTAGGGTTTATGGGTTAGGGAATAATGGGCTTAAGTTTTTTGTGCTTAAGATTTATGAATATATTTCCAGATCGATGTAATGCGTAAAATATCGGCCATATATCGAGTTTTTGGACATTTTTTAAAGTTTATTGCAAAATTTGAAGTGATAGAGTATTTTGGAGTTCGGAGTTCAGATTCATGATCAGCGACACCAAAAACATGGAAGATCCCTACTTCCGGGTGCCGATGAATTTAGGTTTGTGATGCTGCGTCGTAAGTAACGAGCGTTCAAATAAAAACGTGGTCGAAGTTGGCCCTGACACATTGGACGTAGGGCGTAGCTTATAGCGACCAACTTGACCTCATTTCTCAACGAGCTGTTTAGCAGCTGTCAGTTTCAATAACAAAGCGGCGATACAGCGCTTTGACAGATGACGTTTAAGTTCATTTGCTATACGCAACGCCCTACGTCAAAATTTTCAGAATCAACTTGACCACGTTTTTATTTGAACGCTTGTTATATTCAAAAATCGAAAAATAAGTCACTAAACTTCAACACGCGATTTCCAAAGTCGAAAAATGGTATCGGGATAAATCCAAGACTTTAAGACCCCATTAATGGTTTTAGCAAAAAAATTTACCTATCCATTTAACCTAACCTCAAATATGTCAAAAACTCGCGATTTTGACAGTTTTAAGTTCGGATATCTCGAAAACCTGAGCCAATTGAGAAATTTGGACCTCGGATTCAAATTCAGCGCACAAATCTTTCGGAAAAATACCTTCTGGTTTGTGGGTTAGAGGGTCGGTCAAATTTTGTCGGCCTATGTTATTTAAGAGGGATCTATAGCAAATAGACAACCAGCAATACATTTTTATAGATTTTGTTACACAGCTTGTCTAAATATGAATGAATGCACAAGTAACAGACTTTCCCCCATTTTAACGCAGATTTTTTATAAAATGAAATTAGTTTAAAACTCTAATTGCTATTTCGTGTAAAGAAATTTGTAATTTACGATACTGCTTGCTCAAAAGCGGCAAATTACAAATTTCTTTACAACAAAAAGTAATTTGAGCTTCAAACTAACTCCATTTTATAGAAAATCTGCGTTAGAATGGGGGAAAGTCTGTTATTTGTGCATTAATTCATATTTAGACAAACTGTGTAATAAAATATATCAACATGTATTACTGGTTGGCTATTTGCTATAGAGCCCTCGTAAGGTTATTATCTCTAGACTTTAGACATTTGTTGGTAGAGTCGCCATCTAGTAGTCATCTCCTCAAGTTTCACTATTTCCTATAAACGTAGTAAAAATCTTGCTATTTTCTAAAACTTGCCCTATTTTTCGTAAATTTCAAATTGATTTACAATCGTAAATTTGTGAAACCGTATATCTACATATCTCAAGTTAAAAGATGTTAAAACATCCGTTTTACAAATACTGAGGTTAAAAAACAATAATTCAATCGCAAAATCAACATACCAGTTCTGTAGACCTATTAAAAACGCCGTAAAACCGAATATATTTGCTCAAGACAAGGCCTCGTTACAAACTAAGTCTGTCAAGGACCAAGGTATTAACCTAGACGCATGGAATGTGAAAAATAATCTGATATGTATCGCGTAGTATTCCTTATCGGGTTGAGATTCGTCCGCGTTAGGGATTCGGTGAGCATTCGAGAAATTCTACTAGAAACGGGGCTAGTTGGGGTTGCACCTGCACACGCAACACGAGGGGAACAGGAACCAGTCCATGAAGATGCCCTTGCAGTCGTTGTCGGGGTCGTAGGCCAGCAGGCGGTGCCACTTGTATTTCTGCTCGCAGCCGCACTCTCCGGAGCACCGCTTCGTGCTGCTCTTCCTGAAAACCGACATTGCGACGATTAAAAGTTAGTCGTGTCGTAATTTGTCAGTTCTAATGAAAACATGCTTTCTAAAATTATAAAATGCCGCAACACGTACATCACTCGACGTTTTTTGAAATAACAAATTATAAAAAAAATAGTGTATACCTTAATACATAAAAATGTCTATTATTACTAAAAATTATTCGATTTTTTTCATACAAGTTTGCTTTGATATAAAAAGTAAATAGCGCACTCTTATCTGATTTATAGTCACTACGCTTGATACACTTATTTTTCTTTTTCACAAAATCTGGAATGCACAATTTATTCTGAAAATAATTTTGTATCCCTAATGCAGACTAAGGAGACTACAATAAAAAGAATTATATAGTGGACCAGGCTAGGCCCCAAACTCCGGGTCCGAATCGTTCTTACTGCACCTCAATAAAAACAAGTGGCTTCTTAAAGGTACGGTAGCCGCGTGCTTGCATAGACTTTGGAAATGAAATGCAGATATGCGATACTTTTATGACCGGTACTTTATGATCTGCTGGATATCGATGCGACGGGCGCAGAGCATATGACATGCACGTGTACATTTCTGCGGTTCCCCATACACACATCATTCAATTGATATTCTGGTTATTATGTTAACTCTATTAATGAAATTTTATGAATAAATGACGTTTTTCTACAAATTGTTGCATCTTGTTCCTATTTGAAAAGTAATGATTGTAAAAACAAATTTTTGATATTCTCAATTATGTATTTATAAATACAAAGCTGTGTGTAAAAATCAAGACTTTATCTGAATGCAAGTTAAGAGAAATTGCCAAGACAATCTAGGTATCCGCGATAATTTTTAAGATGCAAGCGCACCATGCGGCGAAAGCAGTAAGCTCCGAGACAAGGTAATTTTGACATTGCCGTTCGTGTTTACACCATTTACACATTCATTTGAACATTTGTTTTATTTGCCATTATTGTTAGTAATTTTGTTATCAAACTGCGGTTATTTGACTTTTGTGTTATTTTATAGGTTTCAAATATTTCGTATATAAATTTTAAGGCGAGTATTTATGTCTACTTTATTTGTCTCTAGCATTACAATTTAATGTACATTTTATTAGGTTATAACTATGAACTTATCCGTTGTGGAATACATTTCCTATTTCCATATATGCCAACGAAAACTCTCGTTGTATATCAGAAGGAGAGGCAGTTTTTAACGCTGATCATGTGGTACTATATGGGAAAATTGGGCAAAGTTAATTTAAATTTAGAAATTTAGGTATATTATGTCTGCAAACTAGTGCCCTTACTTTCTAACAACCCTAATGAAATTCAGGGAGTATTATCTATCGGCAATATTTTGAAAATTTCTTCAATGGTTTGATGAAAACTTAATTCTGGATTTTTCTTGGACCATGAAGAGCAACCTTGAACTGAACAGTAATAGTTTGACAGTTTCTATCCATAATTGCAGAAATTTCCCTCACACTATTTTCTTAAAATAACTGTTCAAAAAACGAACACTAAACGCAGTTTTAAATAAAATACAAAACGACTATTAATTTTTACATCAAAGCAAACTTGTGTGAAAAAAATCGAATAATTTTTAGTAATAATAAACATTTTTACATATTAAGGTATACACAATTTTTTTACAATTAGTTATTTCAAAAAACGTCGAGTAATGTACCTGTTGCACCATATTACATATTCTATTTGTTGAATTAACAATTTTGTCGTTTATAACAGTAACTTAAGAAAATTTATTGAAAAATGTTGAATGAAACATTTAAAATAAACAGAGTACCTGAACATTAATATTTCTTACTTTTTGAAAAATATATAAGAAGATGGTATCTATCTTAATATTTAGAACTGTTAAGTTGGACAAAAGAAACTTCAAATTTCTGAGTGAGTAATGCCTGTTATTTTTAGAGCTGTTTTAGAATTTTTTTTTCGGGTTTTACGGTAATTGTGACAGGAACAATTATTTAGAATTATTGTAAAGTATTTGTTTTTAAATTATTTTAATACTTTAACGAATTAAAAAAAACATTGTTTGTAAAACGTAATAAATTTTTATTTTTCCGAAATGTAATTGCCGACATGAAGGAAATAAAATTACGGTTGCAAACAAAATTATCTAACAATTAAAAAAAAAACCATTACGTTTTTCTTTAAAAAATGTCGGTTTCTGTAATCAAATCTCACTGATTTAAGATTTGCTGTAAAAAAGTTTAAGGTTGGTTATTTTCGATAAGTAGTTAATCCTATGTTATAAACTGTGTTTTATTTACCTGAATCTCAGTTAATCTCAACTATTCTCGGTGCTGATTGTTCAATTAAGTGAGATTAGGTAACTAAGATCTCAGGTAAATAAAACAACTGTAACATAAATTGATTCAATTGAACTACAAGAAGAGAGTTTCCCGAGCTGAAATACACAGTTAACACCAGGAGAAAGATAGATGGCTCTGAAAATCGTATTTGACGTTAACAATAGACGTTGACCATTAATTTTATTAGCCATGCTCTTATTTGATGCCAGTATTTGAAGAAGAAGAAGAAAATCTACTTACGAGCACACCTCCTGGTGGATAGCTTGTTCGAAGTGCTGCGTGTTGACGATGGCCCTAATTTTGCCGGCGGAGTTTGACGCCCAGTAAGGCGTCACTATTTCTATTTTGCTCTCGCACGCGTCTACCCTGAAAAAAAAAAAACATATAAAATGCAACGATACGTCACAGTTCTATCGAGATCAAAAAGAAATAATGTCAGAAATCGAAAAAGGAATACTGAAGATCGTAATTAGTTAATGTGGCAGAAAAGTTTTCATTTTTAAGGTCATTTTAAGGTCAAGTTCCCCTCTCGACCTTCTCAAGTTGGTATCATGTCGCGATAGCGAGATATCGGAAAATGGTCTCTACAAAAGTTGTTTGGGTAGTGGGGGACCACCATCAAGTGACCCTTGATTTGACCTTGAGCGCCATATTCATGTTATTACAAGGTCAATTCTTGTTTTTTGAAGGTAATACGTCTGAATACCGTAGGATGGACATTTTGAGGTAGGCAGCAGGATTTGAAATACTCTCATTGTGACACTAATGGCTAGGGCCAGAAGATGGGGGTATGCAAGACCAAATTCTCGAAAACGAAATCTATTTTTGTTACTTTTACGCTCTCAAAATCATGAAAACCAATATCATGGATACAAAAACCATCATATCATCGTCTTTTCCCGATTTTAGTGATTTTCATTAAAATGACCTTCAAAGTTTAATCCAAGGTCACCAAGAGGCGGTCCCCGATGATCCAAATAACATGTAGAGGTCATTTTTTCAATAACCCTCTATCCGACGAGATACCAACCTGAGAATTTCGACAGGGTGTTTACGGAAAATTTAAAAACGAGCTATAAATTAAATATTACCTGCCGCTTTCCGAGCTCTGGTTGTTCCGGAAGTTCTGCCTCGGACTCCTGTTCTTGCCGAGCGACTCCGTGGTCTCCAGGGGGTCGGGCCCGGGGTCGAAGTGCAGGTCGGGCACTCCGGGCTGCGTCGACCGCTTCTTCTTCGTGCCCGATCCACCGGAACGACCCGCGTAGTCGGGCATGTCGAATTCACCGTACATGCGCCTCATCAGCGCCTTGTTCTCGTCTATGAACAGTTCTATCCGGTCTCTGGAATTGAAGGCCACGATTAGAAGAAGAAGAAGAAGAATATAAGCAGACTGTAATAGTGTTGTTGATGTATGTAAGAAACTGGGGTAGTTCCTTGTACACGGAATATTGCTACACCCTGTATATACTTTCCATGATTTGAACTATTGCATTCAGTGCGTTTTTTAAGACAAATTTTTTTTTTGTGAAAACGTAGGTAATGAAAAAATTATCTTATTATAACCCGTTGCTAGAAAACTTATTCATAATAGCTAGAGATTTTGTTGAGACCACAATAAAGACTTACATTTTTATATGAATCGGTTTTCAGGGGATACCTACAGAATGGTGACCTTGAGCAAGTCAGCCATACTGTAAAGGAGTAAATTCTTCGCTCTTTCTGTGGGTTTTGAATGCGACGGCGTTCTTAATCTCTCGGAGAAATTGTTTCTTTGCACCTTTTCTTACAAAATAGACATAATTACTACTAGTCCAGGCGGTATCTGTCTTACAAAGGGTGTACTTGGGTAAAACGCATATGATGGGAGATTTTTGCTTTAACGGCTTCTAAATAACATCAGAAATGATAATTTTTCTATGCAAATAAAAAAAAACGTGGGCTTAATTGTTATTACAAAAAAGTATATAAAAATAACAAAAAAATCATTTTTTTCTTGGATTTCTCGTCGACAACTTAGCAACTATTCATTTTAGACAAAAATAGAAGAGGAAAAAAAGTTTTGTAATTAAATTTTGAACAAGATAGAGTTAGTTGCAATTCGAAAAAATAATTATTGTTATTGCAAAAATCGGAAAAATCATTTAAAAAATTGCAAAAAATGCTAGTTTATTTGTCAATTTTTTTCAGACACTTGAATAATACCTAGGATCTTCATACTTTTCCCAATTAAACTTCTTAGTGCATAGAATCATCACACCAAATTTCATCCAATTCGGTTCGATAGTTTTTACATAATAATTGTTTAATTTTTTTTTTTTTTTTTAAATTAAAAAATTTTCAAAATCAAATTTCTAAAAATCTAAAGCCTTTGAATACTTGAAAATTTCACCACAAAAAGAAGAGCTCTCAAGCTTTAAAATGCTTTTTGAAAAATTCAAATCGGACGATTAGGTGAGCCGTGGTGATTGTTTAAACATTTTCGCAATTTTCACGCTTATAAACAATTGCAATAATTTAATGTTTTTTTCAAATTTTTGGTAATACTAGTAAGTTTGTTTAAATATTATAAAATTGTTTAAACAATAATTATTTAAATAAACAACTGAAAATTGGTATTAATTTTTAGTTGTACGATAAATTTCTAAAAGTCTTTCAAAAATTATTACTCACATAAATTGTGAATAATTATAATTTTAATTTTTTCGTTTACTTTTAAAATATTTATCTAAAATTTATTTTTTATTTATAAAAAAAGTATAAGAATCTTTTGGATACTTAATTAATACCAACAACATGGTGCAACATGCAAAAATTTTGGTCGTGAAAATTAACAGTAAATAAATAAACATAATAAATTAATCATTTTTTAAAGTAACTGTTTATCGGCATGTCAAAAGTCCAATAATTAATAATAAAATGTAGTTGAAAATATGATAATTGAATTTTTTAGTTGCGAGACATCGATTTAAAAAAAAATCATCGAAATTGGTCCATTAGACGCTGAGATAAGTGAAATTTTTCCGAGTGTCGCAATTTTGAACTCGAGAATTCAGATCGGAGTAGCTGTGTGTTTGCTCCCCCCACCACTGATACCTCATTGATTTCACGCGGTCTTGAATATCTTTGAGTGACATTTTAAATGGGACGCCCGTGATTGCAAATTTTGAAAATTTATATCTGGAAAGTACTCGGAATAACAAACCTATTGGTTCAAAAAACAGCCCTTATAGTTTTGCTGTAAATAAGGGTTAACTTTAACGGGCTATAACTCCGAAAATAATGGGCGGATCATCAGGTTTTTTTTTAAATACTCGCCTTTCCGAGTACTTTCAAACCATATTTTAAAATAAAAAAAAATTTGAAAAAACATTAAATTATTGCAATTGTTTATAAGCGTGAAAATTGCGAAAATGTTTAAACAATCACCACGGCTCACCTAATCGTCCGATTTGAATTTTTCAAAAAGCATTTTAAAGCTTGAGAGCTCTTCTTTTTGTGGTGAAATTTTCAAGTATTCAAAGGCTTCTGATTTTTAGAAATTTGATTTTGAAAATTCTTTAATTTAAAAAAATTTAAAAAATTAAACAATTATTATGTAAAAACTATCGAACCGAATTGGATGAAATTTGGTGTGGTGATTCTATGCACTAAGAAGTTTAATTGAAAAAAGTATGAAGATCCTAGGTATTATTCAAGTGTCTGAAAAAAATTTACAAATAAACTAGCATTTTTTGCAATTTTTTAAATGATTTTTCCGATTTTTGCAACAACAATAATTATTTTTTCGAATTGAAACTAACTCTATCTTGATCAAAATTTAATTACAAAACTTTTTTTCCTTTTCCATTTTTGTCTAAAATGAATAGTTGCTAAGTTGTCGACGAGAAATCCAAGAAAAAAATTAATTTTTTTGCTATCTTATACTTTTTTGCAACAACAATTAAGCCCACGTTTTTTTTTATTTGCATAGAAATATTATCATTTCTGATGTTATTTAAAAGTCGTTAAAGCAAAAATCTCCGATCATATGCGTTTTACCCAATCCGAAACAAGTACCGCCTGGACTATACTTTGTTTGAAATAAAATTAAAAACTATTTCGCCAATGCAGATAATGCAACGTTGAATTTATACATGGCATTTATTTAAAAGTATTCGGTAATTACTATATACCGGGTGTTTCTTAAGTGGGGATAAAAAATCCAGGGGCACATTATGTAGCCATAAATAAGGTTTTTTTTGTTTGTAATTATGGGGTCTTAGGACAGCCATTGTCTAGCTACAGCGTGTCAAAAATTATTTAAAAAAATCAGTTTTTAATTTTTAATTTCTAAACCGGTTAAGATAATTTAAATTAATTCGGTGTGCGTATTTAGTATGACAGTAGATATGAAACAAAAAATTACCAGCTTTAGAAACTTACCAGTGGCGGAGGTGTGGGCATCATCGATCATTATTTGTAAAAAAAATATATCACCCTGTATGATACTACAAATGAAATAGGTCATCCATATGCGCCATGGTATTATCTTCACTTATTGTTCCTTTACACTTTTTTGTATTCCAAACCGATTAACAACAAAATTGCATTTATTTCATCGAGTGCATTTTTACGATACTCATTACTTAAAATAATAACAAAATAATTAATTAACACTGGAATTACTGAAATGTTGGAAATGACCACCTTCAGTGAAAATACATGCTTCAGATTTTCTAGAAATTGAAGATGTGCAAACATTCCAGGAGTAGCTCTTATAACATCACAACCAGCTATAATTTGTTGATGTAAGTGCTCCTCAGATTCAATGTGAACCTTGGAAACTAATGTCTTGAGATGTTCCCAACCAAAAAAATCAATATGGTTCATATCGAGTGATCTGGGTGGCCAAGGTTGACCTAGTTTTTGAGTTCTTCGTCCAATCACGTTATTACCGAATCTTTCATTTAAAAATTCACCAGAAGTCAAACTAAAATATAGGGGAGCCCCGTCATGCATAAACCACATTCTTTCTCTTAACGTATAGTGAACATTGTCAAGTAGATCAGGTAAAACGTTTTCAAGAAAATGTCCCTATGAGGCACCGGTTAAAGTTCTTGGTAAAAAGTAAGGCCCAACAAGAAAATTTGCAATAATACCCACTCATACGTTCAAAGAAATTGATGTTGAAAACGAGATTTCATTAAGCCATGAGGATTTTCATCAGATCAAACGTGTTTATTGTGGAAGTTCATTGCAGCATCTCTGGAAAAATTAGCTTCGTCGGTAACAATATGCCAGCGGCAAAGTCAACATTTGATTCAATTTTTTGCGAAATTCAGTGGCAAAATTGTAGGCGAGCAGGACAGTCTTGAGACAGTAAGGCTTGAGCCATTTGTAGGAGATATGGGGTATAACTGTTGATGCTTTAGAACAGACCAAACTAATTTGTGATTCACATTAATATTTGCAGCGATCTTCCTAATACAAATACTAGTATTCTTCAATTTCGTGTAAAATAGCTACTTCCAACTCAAGTATTCTAACACTCAAAGGTCTTTCAGGAATTGGACCTTTCTGAAAAAAGCCTGACTGAAAAACGTTGAAAAACATTTCTGAACATCCTTGGATTTGGAGTTGGATTATTTGGAAATCTTTCCATATAAATTCAACTAGCCTCATTACCATTTCCATCTGAATGCCATAAATGTAAACCATATTAGGCCAAGCAAATAAAATGTTTACTCGAAAAAAGTCTTATCCGCGAGGTTATTGTAAAATTGTCTAAAGGAACATAATACAAGACATCTGTTATCTCGTGAGTAAAAAAATTTTATTAGCTAACAAATTAGTTTCTATTTAAACAAATAAGTGAGGAAAACAGTTTTTTCACTTTGCAGGGAAAACCATCAATTTTAAAGTGACAATAATTTTTGTGACATTTTAGTAAATTAAAAAAAAAATAGTATAAAGATGCATTTTTTCTAGGGTTCAGGGCTATTCTACGAATTCGTAAATATGCCCATTGTTACCTTCTCTTTAAAGGGCTCGTGAGTCGTTAATTTTCCACATTTTTCAATGTAATTCACGGGAAATCGTCGTAATATACGTCGTAAACTTAATGTTTATAAACAATTGCGCTTTTTTTTTTAAATTTGTATTTTTTTGCCAGCTATCCATTGAATCTATTTTCTGTGAGGTAGCATAAATAGCAACAATTTTATTCAAATTGTTTATAAGCGAAAAACGCACGGATTTTTAATGCACAATTTGCGAATGTTAATGTCAAAAAACCGGTGATATTTTTTAATAGGTTGCTTAATTACGTCTTTAAGATTACAATGACGCTTTCAGAATCATGTTTGGTTGAAAATTAACGCCTGTACAGAGACTTAAAGTTTATAACTTTTGGAGCCTCCGTTATAAACAAATTGAATTGTGCGAAAATTATTGCACCTACAGCGCCCATTTTTGGCACATTTTTAAAGTATGACAAAACCCTCAACTTGTCATAGGTTTTATAAAATTTTAACAATAAATGCGATAGTTATGAACAAATTAAGAAATGGGCACTTTTCTTGTTTTTTTGCAATAACTTTTTTGTTTATTAACAGATTTTAATTTAACAAGTCTCATTTTGTAGATAATTTTACTCCCTACAAGCTGTCTGCGAGTCACTTTTCGCTAAAATTGATGGTTTTCCCTGCAAAATGAAAAAACTGTTTCCCTCACTTATTTGTTTAAATAGAAAAGTTAGCTAATAAAATTTTTTGACCCACCAGATGAGAGATGTCTTGTATTATGTTCCTTTAGACAATTTTACAATAATTTCGCGGATAGGAATTTTTTCGAGTTTCTCTTTTATTTTCACTAATTTTCCTGGTGTAATATTTATTGGCCATTTCAACATTTGAATATGCATAAGCCATTAGTAAAACTTAATCTTTTTAAAAAATAAGCTTAATTTGACAATACACAATATTAAATAAGATGACGGTTTCTCATTATTATTGTTTTGCATGGCCTCCCTAAGATATGTTTAAGTAATTTGAGTAACTGTGTAAAAATGCACTTGATCAAATAAATCAATTTTGTTGTTAATCGGTTTGGAATACAAAAAAGTACAAAGTAACAAAAAGTGAAGGTAATACAAAGCCTCATATGATGACCTGATTTATTTGTAATATTATACAGGGTGATATATTTTTTTGGCTAATAATGATCGATGATACCCACACCTCCGCCATTGGTAAGTTTCTAAAGCTGGTAATTTTTTGTTTTATACCTATTGTCATACGAAATACGCACACCGAATTTGGTTAAATTATCTCAAGCGGTTTAGAAATTAAAAATTAAAAACTGATTTTTTTAAAATTTTTGACAAGTTGCAGCTGGACAATGGCTGTCCTAAGACGCCACATTTATTTTAATTGCCCTCAAAATTGTTCATTTTAAAGCTTCCCTAAATTCGAAACTACGTAGAATTAACTTCATTGTGAAAATTGCCATAATATTACATGAAGTCAGTATAAACTTACAGTGGATACGAATTTCCCGCTTTTGGGCAATACAGTTGTTGGTTTTTCTTTATACAAGGCACGCCCCTGATATATTCTCCACGTAGTTCTAATCCTAAAGCTACTGATAATGCCGTCCACAGAATCTGAAACAAACAAAATAGTATTAAAATCTAAAAGAAATGTTTTACTGTCTAATATCATTATTTCTTATAGCTTAACCCCTTCCGAAAAATCCAAGCGCACGCCGCTGGCAAACGTCTGCGTATCACATAAAATATTGACATTTTCGCCAAACCGTTGGATAACGATTCCGAAAATTCTCAGTTGACCAATCAAGCACGTCCTCGATTACTGGAAAAATTATGACATCTTATTTTTCTATGCCGGTAATGTAAATGCACCAATTAAGTGTGAATGTGTGGGAATAAATTATTGTTGAGTCACTGGGAACGCGGGATCGCCACAAACGGATGCTCCTGTTGTTGACAAAATAAGTCAATACGGTAAGTTCTGTCTACCCATGGTTCGCAGTTCCGTAAAAGGGGTTTTGTCCGCTTGAAAAACTTTTCTGAGGCGGAAAATTTCTTTGTTTGCGTTAGGAGATACGTCTTTGCGGTTTGACGGTGACTGGAGGCAGTTTAAAGAAATCTATTGACGGTCAGAGAACTTCTGGGAACCACAAGTGTCGTGTCGGACGGGGTCTGAATTTTTTTTCGACGACACCAAACGGATTTAGTACAGATAAATCACACTTTACGTGTTGGGGATAGTCAGACATAAATACTCAGTGGAATTCTTGTGGGTGTAACTGAATAAGAGTGAAATATTTAAGGAAGTAGTTTCCTGTTCAAAATAAACAGGACTTTTCAAAAATAGACATTTCTAGTGAGGCCATCTTTTGGCAATTACATGCGTAGGAAAGGAAATGTAGATCCTTCACTGATGTACTGTCAAAATTTCATGACATTTGGACGAATAAAAGTGGAGTTATTGCGGCTGAACTGACAATATGTTTGTGTCATCGCGCATGGATCGGTACAAAAATTATAAAACTTGGTAAAACTTTTACCGAAACGTTTCAATTGATGAACCAAGCTTATGGTGATGACTGTTCATCCCGTAGCAAAGTTCATGAATGGCAAACGCGGTTTAAAAACGGCCGTGAGGACGTAATCGAATACGAAGTTGTAGTTTGTTGCACGATAATTAGTCCAGACGGTATCTGTTTCAAAGAGTCCATATTTGGGTGAATTGTATATCCACGGAGATTTTTGGCTTTTTGGCTTTCAAATACTTATCACTAGAAATGAATATTTTTCTATGCGCATAAAAAAACGTGGGCTTAACTTTTGGCGGCACAATATGTTAAAAAAATTAGAAAAATGTCGTATTCTTCTTTCTATTTAATTATGTATCTTTTCAAGAATTGGTTTTAGGCGAAAATGGAAGAGGAAAAAAATGTTTGTAATTAAATTTTACAAAATGTGACTAGTTACAAATCGAATGAATCTTGATTATTGTTGTAAAAATCGAAAAAATCGCCAAAAATGGGGTTAAAATACATTACTTTTTAGGGAATTTTTTGGGGTCTTTAAATTGGGTATGGACCTTCATACTTGGCTCAAGAATAGTTCATGTTATGTAGAATCATCACACCAAATTTCATCAAAATCGGTTCCATAGATTTTGCATAATAATTTTGCAATCCAGATTTTGAAAAAAAAATTGCAAATTTTCAAAATTTTGAACAGCAAAAACCACATTAGATACTTGAAAATTGAATCACATATAGAAGGGCTCTAAAGCTTTCAAACGCTTTTTGAAACATTCGAATCCGTCAATTAGGAGAGCTCTGGCGTTTGTTTAAACATTGGTCGAATTTTTGTACTATAATTTTGTATTTTTGTAATACATATAAAGAGTTAATTTCTCATTTGCTTATATTTTAAGCAGTAAATAATATTTGAATTATATTTTAATCACAAAAGAAATAATCATTAAATTAATAATTAATTACTTAATTAATTAATTAATTAATTAGTTAATTACTCATCTTCGACATATTTTGAAAATAATTTTTGTTTAAACAATTATAGAATGTTTAAATAAAGTTTTTGATCTTTGATAAACAGTGTATATGTAAGTTTATGCACTTACCTTTAATACAATAAAAAAATAAAGTTGATAATTAAAGGAAGTTTAAAGATAAATAGTTATCGGACTATTGAAAGACCAATAATAATTATTAACGATAGGCATTTGAAAATACGCTAATTGTTTTTTTTTAATCGCGAGACATCGATTAAAAAAAATCATCAAAATCGGACCTCTAGAAGCTGAGATATTAAACATTTTTAAGCGTGTCGCGGTTTTGAACTCGTCGATTCAATTTCGAGCAGGCCGAAGCGACCGCGTTCTCTGCTTCACCCACCACCACCACCCGTACGATTTTCTTGAATTTCTTGCTTGCATAAATAACTTTATCCACGACTATTGTATAATGTACCCATTATACGTCTGTTTGCTCGACCTTATTAATACCCATTAATCACGGCAGTGATTAATGAGTCATTAATCACTACAGTCAGATGCTTCCTTGATTTAGCTATAATATTATATTGTTCTGCTACAAACAGTCGGTTTTTTAAATTTTATCGTGTAAACCACTAAATATTTTCAATTCAGTGCTGTACATATAAAAAAAATAAAAAAGTGAATTTTCCTAGACCAGATTCGAACCCGGGACCCGCGGTTGGAAGGGAAGGAGCATCTACACTGAGCCATCAGCGACTTCGTTTGTGCGTGTCGTATATCTGTTCTTAACATACCATGTTTTTCGAAACATTTCATAAATCTAAGTAGCTTTTAAAACAAAACAAATTTGACTCAAACCTGTCAACATTATTGTTTGTGTGCATAGATTTCTCAGTGTTTTGATATTTTGTGTTAAATTGTGTTAAAAAACGAACTAAAAACAAAAAAAACTTCAACATAAATATTTAGTAGTCGTGGATAAAGTATAATATTCTACTCTCGTATAATGGCTATTATCCACTCGGTGATTTAGGCCACTCGCCTGCGGCTCGTGGCCGTAAACTTCACCTCGTGAATAATACCCATCATTATACGGTCGTTGAATAATATACTATTAAACACGTTTTAAAGTAGGTTGCCAATGAAGAAAAGTATTGTAATCTTAGACCTGGTAAGTACTCGGAACACCAAAGGTATTTTTCGAAAAATTAGCCCGGATATCCCAGTACATTTAGTGTAAATGACGGTTAACTTTGATAGGCTATAACTACGTAACTAATTGACCAATCGATCTGTTTTTTTTTTTTAAAGAAGCGTCTTTCCAATAACTTCTAAACCTACTTTAAAAAATTTGATTTGAGTACAAAAATTCGACCAATATTTAAACAAGCGCCAGAGCTCTTCTAATTGACGGATTCGAATTTTTCAAAATGCGTTTGAAAGCATGAGAGCCCTTCTATATGTGATTAAATATTCAGGTATCTAAGGGCCTTGGTTTTTGCTGTGCAAAATTTTGAAAATTTGCAAATTTTGTTTCAAAATCTGGATTATTATTATGCAAAATCTATCTAACCGATTTTGATGAAATTTGGTGTGATGATTCTACATAACATGAACTTTTCTTGAGCCAAATATGAAGGTCCTATACCCAACTTAAAGACCCCAAAAAAATTCCCTAAAAAGTAATGTTTTTTAAACCCATTTTTGGCGATTTTTTCGATTTTTACAATAATAATCATGATTCATTCGATTTGTAACAAGTCACAATTTGTAAAATTTAATTACAAAAATTTTTTTCCTCTTCCATATTCGCCTAAAACCAACTCTTGAAAAGATACATAATTAAATAGGAAGAAAAATACGCAATTTTCCGAATTTTTTTAACATATTGTGCCGCCAAAAGTTAAGCCCACGTTTTTTTATGTGCATAGAAAAATTTTTATTTCTAGTGATATTTGAAAGCCAAAAAGCCAAAAATCTCCGTCGATATACGATTCACCCATATCAAAATAGATACTGCCTAGTCTAAATGCGCCACCTCATCGATCGACAATTGTGAACGATTTTTTACTAAAAATGTCAACCACCGTATTTGCCTAATTTGGCACCGTTTGACTTTTACCTTTTCGACAAAATGCTAACCAGATTGAAGGATAGATATCAAATTTGTTTCATACAACTCAAACTATCTAAAAACAGATTATTAAATGATCAGATTGGCGATAGAAAAACGTTACCCAAAAAATAATTTGCAGGGGAATCTTGCAATCCAAAGGGAAGATCAAGAAATTAGCCGAAAATGTCTTTTGATAGGAAAAATTGACGTATTTTAATTTTTGTAATATTTTCCATATTTAAGAAAAATAAATAAATAAAAACTAAATTCTCTCTCCTTCTGAAGGGCCATAAATCCGTATAGAGAGAACTGAGTGTTTTTTTTTTTTTCATTTTCAGGGAGGAATCTTCCGCTAAATTTGCTCGCAATTATTTGAGACCCCATATATTGCTACAAAAAAAATACTTGAGGAAAGCCTTTGAAGAAGTGAACTGTAAAACAAACAAAACAACTACCAGCACGCTAAAAAAAAACAGCAATTCACCGCGTTCGAACATTCGCAGTTGGCATGCTAAATAACGAATGTCAACAAACAGAAAAGTTCCTCAATAACCGATAGGCAAGTGTTTTAAAAATATCTTCAAGGTTGCGCGTTAATGATTAAAATAATATACGAACTAGATTGTGACATTTAGGCATTGTAATAGTTGTATTTTATTGGCAGTGAATCATCGTTTGTCCTTTTAAAATCACTTCCAGCCAAAGCAGTGTCGTAGGATTTCGCTACAATGTAACGTTTAGCCAATTTACTTACACGAAGAAAACTGCTATTGTTTTCAATGACACCGCAATATTTAATCGTTAAATCAATATTCACTATAACTGATTGAATTCAAGCAATAGAAAATTTAAATTTGCTACGAAAATATGATAATTTTGGTACAAATATTTATGATTTATGTCATAGTAAGAATGATGATAAATACAGGATTGTTGATAAGTATGAAAACGGTCGATTATCTTCTAAAGTAAGATAGCTATCGAAAAATCATA